CTTTTTCCAGGCACCCGGCCGGCTTGGCTGTGCCCATTGGGCCCCGGCCGGTCCCTCTTTGGTCCGGCGGAACAATTTCCTCCCTACATTCATTTATAGGACTTTCATCCTTTGTTTCATGTTGTTTTTCATTTGTTTATCATTAATAATTGCAGAAATAGCCTGAAGCTCGCAAAGGAGAACAACATTCACTACATTGCATTCCCTGCCATATCTTGTGGTGTTTATAGGTAATGAAATTTGTAAATTTTATTTTTCTAAGAGAAAATTTCATTTCTAACCTTTGTTGCAAGACTAATGGCCTTAACAAGTTTTCCTTTGAAATATACTTCTAGATATCCTCATGAAGAAGCATCCAAAATAGCCATATCTGCAATTAAGGAGTTCCCACGTGATTTCAAAGAGGTACATTATTGTAAATTTCATTTTGCATTTTTTTTTCTTTTTTTTGTTTTAAGTGTTGCCTAGATGAGAATGATTAGGCAAATGAGACACTTAGAGACAAAATGCAAAATGAATACATCCGTGATAGGGTTGGTGTTGCTCCTGTGAAGGCAAATTTAGAGAGTCGTCTTGAATGGTTTTGTCACATGAAACGTCGAGCATATGATGATCCGATTAGAAAAGTAGATGTTTTAGATTTAACTTATGTTAAGAAAGGCAGAGGTAAACCTAGGAAGACTTGGACATATTATATAAAAAATTATATTAATTTATTAGAATTAAATGAAAGTATGACACTAAATAGGACGCAATGGAGAAAAAAGATTCAGGTAGCCGACCCCACTTAGTAATATAAAGGTTTTGTTGCTGTTGTTGTTGTTATTTTTTGTTTTATATCTCAACCTGATCTGAATCTAACTCGAAAAATCTAGGTTTGGATTTAGAAACTTGACCTGTTTAAAATTTATGGTTTGATATGGGTTATATGTTAATCTGAAATTGACCCAAATTGCTATTATATCTTACGTTGAATGTATCACATGGGTCTGAGTTTGGGTTAGAATTTCCGACTCGTTATAATATTCAGGTCAAACAGTTTTTTAGGTCGGTTCAATTTCGCGTAAGGGGGCATTTACATATATATCACCCATCACTTATGTATTTACATATATAATACCTGAACTTTGCTTTTCATAGTTATATCATTCAAATCTTTCATATCGCATAAAAATATCATCATTTTAACTTTTGAAAAGCGAAGCCGGCTTTGTCATGCATAGTTGAAGTGATGTGTGTGTAAAAATTAAATTTTAGATGGTAGGTATGTAAATACTTAAGAATTGAGTGGTATGTTTGTAAAATTGTATGATTTTGTTTTTGCAGGTATACTTTGTGCTATTTTCAGATGATACCTACAGAGCATTTCTGGGGACTGCTCTCGAGTTCATGTGAAGCTCTCTCTGCATGATACCCGAAATAAATATGTAATGTTTGGGACATGAATTTGAGTTTCATTTAGGAGCGTTTGCTGTTTTATATATTTTCAGAAATTTCATTTTGTGGTATTTATATATTTATGTATTTTAATAAGCGCGCTGGATTTTTATTTTTGAATTCTGTTTTTGGTTGCTGGAAAAATAAATAAATGGCAATAATTTTTAATTATTTATTCATTGTTAAATAAATTTTATATTAATATAAAATTAAGGGTCTGTTTGGGGCAGCTTATAACTGCAGGTTGCGTTTTCAAAATGCCGCTGTACCGTTTGGTTCGCGTGTTTCGCTAGTTTATCCAAAACTGTATTTGTGTTTGTTGAAGACGAAGCATCGACACAGCAACTCGGTGGACGGTTCGCAGACCGCGTTTTAGAATAAGCAGCTTATTATGAAATGCACAAGTTGCCCCAAACAAACCCTAACTTGAAAACAAAAAATAATTACATTTTCAGCATTTTTTTAATTTAAACTTTTCGTTTTAATCATTAATGATTTATTTTTAATATTATGTGATATTTTAATATATATATATATATATATATATATGGCTTAATAAAATAATTAGTTAATCATCAACATGTAAAATCTTATTTAGTGAATTTAAAAAATTTAATGGGAAAGTATGGGTTAGGTTAATTGTCTAAAGTAATTTATAAATAAGTAATTAAGAAATATTTAATGATATAAGAATTTAACAAATCTTCTTCATAAGGCAATTAATAATATAATTAGCTAAATAATTATAATTATTTAGTGTAAAAATAATTACAAAATTTGATTGGATAATTAGAAAAAGTATAATTACTTGAATGATGAATTCTTCCCCAAGTCCATGTCTAAGTGATCCATATCTAATAAATAAATAAATAATGAAGATGGTGATCATCTTCATAATTATTATAAGAGAAATTAGTTAAAATAGACCATTTTAGTCATAAAGTATAAAAAATTAATGGGGAATTTACATAAACAACCCCAACTCTTACGATTTTATCCCACTCACACCTAAATTCTCGCCTTCAACTAACCTTTTTCGTCCCTTCCCAACAATCAAATCCATATTTTCATCCATAGATAGGGTGTTGATTTTGTAAAAAAATGAGAGTATTTCACTCATTATTAGAATAGTTGGGGATTAAATTCTAACTAGTCTGCGATTATTTTGACATTTTCCTCAGTTTGTTATCTCAAATTCCTCTCTCTCTCTAGCTCTCTTGCACGAAAAAATATTCTGTCTGGAATTATGCACTTTCGGACGACCAACCACCGGGCACCACGGTGCCAGCCGATAAGATGTGCGTCCTGACGGAATATTTTCTCCTCTTGCACAAACAAGTTCAATAGTATAGGAATCTTTTGAAAGCAATATTTATCATTCTATTTTAGCTTTTTCCCACCACAAGTTGAGGTCTTCTAATAGCTTCATTCCATGCCATCCTTCATAAATCATTCAGTTATTTTACCTGAAATCATAACTTGTATATTTTTGTTGATTTGCTTCAACAACAGTATTGCTTGCAATTAATAAAAAGAGTAGTAAATAACTTGTCATATTTTTGTTGATTTTATTATAAGAAATTATTACTCAATATAAAAAAATCTGGAAAATAATTTTTACAGCCCTCTTAATGTCTTGCCATCTCAGCTCTTCTTCAACTCCTCCCTCCACCTTTATTCTCCTCTGAAACTGAATTTGCAGAGTATCTGCATCTTCTTACCAGAACAAGATTTCTTTTTAAGAGAAGAAGAAGAAGAAGAAAAAGAATGGGGAACTACAGGTTCCAGCTACCCAATATTCTGCCAAATTGTTGGCTTTCCAAGCTAAAAAACATTGGCAACAGAAGCAAGAGCAGAAGACAAATCCTCCAGACCTCCATGAAGAAAAACCAAGCTCCAACAACTCCAGCAACAAACTCATCTTCTTCCCCAACAAAACCACTCTCCCTCCCAAACAGACAATCCCACTACATCCCCAGCCAAGCCAGACCAGAACCCAAGCTCCTCCCTTCCCCACCTAAGCCTATAAGAACAAAGCCCAAAACCATAGAAAACACTGAAACTCACCTTCATCTCAGAAGCAACACAAGCAAGGCACCATTGTTGCACTCACCCAGACTTCAGAGGAAAAAGGCCCAAGCTTTGCGCAAGCAGAAGAAGTGGAAGGAGAGGTTGAAGGAGAGTGTTGCAGTGGTGAAACCTTCTTCAGATCCTCAGAAGGACTTCAGGGAATCAATGGTGGAGATGATATTGGAGAATAAGATTGTGGATTCTCAAGATTTGGAGGACTTGCTTTCATGTTACTTGATTCTGAATTCCTCTGAGTATCATGACATGATTGTTGGGGTGTTTGGGGAAATTTGGACTGCTCTTGCTGAAATTATATTATAGGTTCAGCTCTGTTTCTTGTTGGATTGAAGGTTTGGTGAGGTCTGATTTTGTAACTTAGTCTGTTTAATTCTATTTTAAGGTAGCATGTATGCAAATTCTGTCATGTTATGGCCTTGCATTTCAATATGAGTTTTTTTGATAGATAATGCCAACAATCAAGGTGAATCAAAATTGGTCATTTTCCTTAAGGGCCCAACATTTATTGGCTTTAGGTCGATGGGCCTGTTTTGCAGTCCTTTGGTGGCCTGATTGGTACACCCGCATTCAGAGATTGGTGAGTCGCATTCATCAATGCTCATCATGGGAGCACATCAGTGGTAGCTTCCTTGAATCATTGGTGGTGGGTGGGGCATTCTATCTTAACAATCACCTTATTGCACAAGTAACTCTTATTATTATTATTATTATTATTATTATTATTATTATTATTATTATTATTATTATTATTATTATTATTATTATTATTATTATTATTATTATTATTATTATTATTTTATTTTGATGGTTAGATTTAATTTCAATTAATCTAGCACCTTATCTATTCATGAATTGTGTATTGCACTTTTTAGAAGTTAAATTCTAAGGCTTTTTAGTTTGGTGCATGATTTTTCTTCGAAGTTATGTTAGTTTGAATGTGCACTGACTTCTCTGACTGTAAGTATAATTAAGGCTGAAATATCTATTAAAAGGAAAATAAACACTGATGAATGACATCTTTTTCAAAAATTATTTCCCCTATTTATAGGAGAGTGTTGTATAATAGTGATTTTACATTTTTTCCTCGTTTGGAGCGGGTTCGTGCTAGTGTACTGCAAGTATTTTAGAAGTGTGGGCTTATCATCCGACTGTTTTCTCGCTCAATCGACTAAGCTTAATTGACTTCGGTTCAACCGAGCTTGGTCGGTATGATTCAGTCACTTGAACCAAGCTGGTTGACTATCTTTGATCCCTAGTGAGGCGTCATTGGGGACTCCAATGGACGGTCAAAGGTACCTTGTATAATTAAATCTTCCTTTGGATCGGCTCTGCTGGGGGTAGGCTATCGCATCGAGTCAACTTTCTTCTAGTTGTTGGCTCTTATGCTGCTTTATCCTATTTCTGAGTAGATGGCTCATGCTTGGATCACCCAATCGTTTTCTTGTTCGCCTCATGGCTCGATCAGTTTTGATTTAGTTGGCTTGGATTGTGTGTTTTTACTTGTTCGGTCAGATGAGCCCCATGATCTACTGGTAGTGGTCCAGCTTCCTTACACTCTTCTCTTATGGACTGTTAAATCTCTTTAAAATCAATGCATACACCTTTTCAATATAAAAAATTTAGTTCTTTGATTCGCTTATTTCTTAAAAGCAAGATGTAATAAGAATAAGATAATTTAATATGAAAATAAATTACATTCAATTTTAATCAATGATTAAATGATTAAACTTCCTTAATTTAAGCATCATTGATTCTTATATATATTGCATGATGGGATTCCTCATTCTTAATTTGCTCCATGCTTCCCCTTGTTTGAGTCGGTTGGTCGTGTCTTAATCATTATGATGGATAACCTGCCAAAATCCCATGTTGAAAATCACACTAAGGATCTGATTGGCTCCCCCTTGGGTAAACCAAAAGGATGAGTCTGCCCAAAATCTGAGTGGAGGAAAAAAGTTTTCGTGAAAAAGAAGAAAATGACGCTCCCAATGCTAGATTAGATGGGGTCCTCTATTTTGATCCTCAGCACTGTATGGAGGAACGTTCAACTAACCGACCTAGCCTTCACTCCAATCATCTACCATCTATTGAGACATAAGACCTCCCAGTCGGCCAAGTCACTCGGATGACTTTTGGCATTCCCCCATCACTTTCATTAATGATTAATGGTGAACCTGACATATCGATTACAATTTCTAAGTTGAATTGGCTCTTGGGTATGACAGACTTCAATATTATTTGTTGATTGAATTTTTTGAAAACTTTTTTTTTGTTTTACGATAACACTTGGTGCAAATGATCCAGCTCTGATCGACTTATATGAGTCTGACTAAGGTGTTAGTGATAACAAACCAAGTGTCATGTGAGAGTGGTAAGCTCTTGAGCTAGAATGGCGGGGTTAATTGCCCTGACAATACCCTTGAAGGACTAAGGGAAGCAGCTGACAAACTATGGACATCATATGGGTCGCTTTCTCATCTCCTAGTCAAAATTTAGAGCTCTTTCGCTTTGTCTGCAGGGATCTATTGGGGTGAAGAGATCCATGACTTGTTGGACCATATGGAGAGGATGGAGGGGACAATTACTACTCTTCACCATGAGTTGTTGGATATTCGGGAGAGATCCCGATCTTCCAAGTGCAAGCCAAGTTGGAAAAACTAAACCAATTTTGTTATGGAGGGTAGTTCTTGTGTATGAGGTTGCCTCGGTTGGGTCATGTCTCCGTCAAAGCGGGGACAGATACCCTTATAAAATATTTTGCCTCATACTTGTTTTTGAGTGCTTCATTATAATTTAAGTGTAATTTTTTTCAATAAAAACTATTTTTCTTACCTTGTTTTTTTTTTCATTATGTGATCCTATTGATAGATTATTAATAAAATGACTATTTACTTCAACTTATACCCCTACACATATAGTTGTTTGGTCATGCTCTTGTGCTCTCTCCCTTCCTTTTGCCCTTTCAAATTATACTCTTGCGCTCTGCCTGATGGCTCCCATTATTCTCCATAAGATTTTGAAACAGTCGCCATAAATGACCAATCCTAGATGACTCAAGCTGATGCGGGCTTGCTACAAGGGAGTTTTGTTTTATAATCCGCCACCCAAGGAATAGTGCCTAACATAAGGAGAGAGGGAGAGAGAAAAAGAGAAACAATCATGAACTCCTCAATTACAAATATTGCTCATTTATTTATTGGAGAATAATCATTGTAAAATAATAATTATACCCCTATACAATCGACTAGAGAGGGTCGATTGGAGCTGGTTGGGCTAAATGGAGCTGGCTGGGCCAAATAGAGTTGGTCGGTCTGACCTGAGCCTGGTCATTTGGCCGGCTAGAGCTAGATATGATCGATTCGAGTTAGTCGGGCCGAATGGAGCTGGTCGGGCCCAAACGGAGCTGGCAAAGCCGAACAGAGTGGGTGACCGGTCCGAATGGATTGGTTGCCAGCTAGAGGTCTGCTAAGTCGACAGGAGGGGGTCAAGTTCAAGAGATTCTTCAAATAATCTAATCAACTTATACTACGAAAAGAGAATTTTTGTCATTCAATTAATATTTTTATTATCATGATACATTTTAAGTACATTGAAATGCAAACAATAAGCGTTGGCGGCCCACATAATTTCTTAACTTTATTTTTTCCTTGAAATTTTTATCTATTTACATGAATGTTTTTATAGTTTAAAAAAATGAAGGTCTTTCGTTGGGATGCGTTTTGGACCATCTCCTTTATTGCAAATCACGAAGTGGGTCCCCACCAATCATTCAAATATCCTTTCTCTTCCTCATATATATATATATATATATATATATA